TGAGGATTAAAAAGAACTGTAAATTAATGTGGAAATGTAGCACAACAGACTTATGGATAATCATGCCCATCTATATTTATAGGCAGAGCTTATTGACTAATACCACTTGCACTATCTCAGGACAATACTGTACTCAGAAAAAAAACCCTATCTGGCAAGGATTTGGAAGAGTGATTCTATTGATCAGTAAAGGTGCATTTGTACTGTGAACAAGCTCTCTCTACTGTATTTCCTTCGGTCCCAAGATGCTTGTAAGCAGCTACTTGCATACCAAGCCCACAGCTGAAACATTGGTATGGCACAGTTATAGAAAAAAGATTTGTTCTCTGCGTTTGTGGCTTTGTGCCATTCTTTGGAAGTAATATGTACTTTGCAAGTATCTACCAGAAACCTTTTCTGAAGCTGAGATTTACCATTTACCATTCAGAAAATTTAAAGAATCGGAAAATTAAAAGAAATCCACTTACACAAATAGAGGCATTAATGTGGTCTAGAGATGACAAATGACGAAGATTTCAGGACTTCAGTTTCTCTTCTGTTTCTCATTTTTCCCTGTTGTTAGGTTTATTCTATTGCTTTTCTAAAACATCTGCATGAAAATTCCATACATATGCATTCTGTATGAAAGGCACACTTCCTTAACATAAACATTTTTGTACATTATTTTGTATATTACTACATACATTACTGTTTTCACTTTTCCTTAATAAATGCATTTTTGTATTTTTTTTAAATTTGATTAGTCATTTTGACCATATCAAAAAGCATACAGATCACACGAATCCCAAGTAAACAGCTAAAAAGCGATAAAATAGATTTCAGTAATAAAATATAAAATAGCATGTACATATTTTAATTGAGTGAGTCACCCCTGCAGGGAACACCTATTTGATCAATGCAGTGAGATCTTATGCCCATTACCTTAGATATGAATTTTGCTATGTTGCGGACAACTTTCGTATTGGCACTCAGAAGAAAATACAGTGGTGCCTCGCTTAACGATGTTAATTGGTTCCAAAAAAACATCGCTATGGGAAAACATAGTTAAGCGAAACGCGTTTTCCCATAGAGATGCATTGAAAACCGGTTAATCCGTTCCAATAGGCACGGATTGCCGTCCTTAAGCGAAGAAACCCATAGGAAACATCGTTAAGCGATACAATGTTTCCTCCATTGGAATGCATTGAAGCCTATTCAGTGCATTTCAATGGTTTTGCGATGTCCATTTTTGCAAATGTAAGTGTGTCTTAAAAGGTTCAAAAACTGTTTTAAATGCCTGGAATCGTTAGTGCACCTTCTAAAATGGGTGCAAACTTAATTTGGC